GCGGCTGGGTCCGTGAGCCATGGCCGCTGAGCCTGCGCGTCCGGAGCCTGTGCTCCGCAACGGGAGAGGCCACAACAGTGAGAGCCCTGCGTACCGTAAAAAAAAAAAAAAAAAAAAAGAAAGAAATGGGCATGAGACACAATTCTGACCAATAAGGAGAATCTTCTGGGAGTTTCCTCACATCTAAGAGATGTTTTCTTTTTGGCCTTGGATGTAATTGTGTTTGGATGTGACACCTGAGTCCTCTACAGCCTGACAATAATAAAGACCATACCAAGCATGGCAGAGTGAGAAAGTGAAAAGAACCCAGGCTTCATGCCATCATTGCCTGGCTGACTTCAGCCTATTCAGGACTTCCTGTCACAGGAGAGAACTTGTTAGTTAAGGCACTGTGAGAGAGGTTTTCAGTTTCATGCAGCTCAAAGTATTCTGTTTTAAACACTCTCCTTCTGGCGTTCTCTCCGGACCCTTCGATTTTCTCTTCTTGAATCACCACCAGTGTTTCCACGTTTCTCTCAGTACCACCCTTTTTCTCCTTTTCCCTCCCCTCTCCTCTCTTCCCCAACTGTTCCTGTCCGTCTTCAACAATACAGGGGGAACCTTTAGCACAGTCTGACCAGCTTACACCCACCCCTTTCTCTCACTTTCTCAACCACAAGATGCTTCCCCACCTCCAACCACACTCACACTTCACAGCTGACAGGCCTGGGTGGATCCACGCCAGGCCAGCCCCAGAGTCTGTCTCTCTCCATGTTGGAGTTCCTTAACAAAGGAATCCCTGCATGTGGCTGAAATGGAGGTGATGTTTTTTGGGAGAGCTGAGGGGCCTGTGTTTCCAGGAGGAAGACTCTCACACTCTCTCTGCAGAAAGAGGAAGGAAGCACAAACACCAAGAGAAACAGGGGCAGAGTCTCTGACAACGTGGGCCACACAAACTGTTGTACATTTTGTGCTCTGAAAAGCTTCCGGCCCTGCTAAAGGCTTTCTATTTCTGGATTTCTTCAAGAGGACCCTATCCTTGAGGTTTAAGAGTTTTTAGACAGAATTCTTCCATTGCACCCCATTTTGGCTTTAGCTACTTTGGAGTAGGCATCTCACATTTGCAAATCAAAGAACCTTGATTAAAACAAGTCATTCCATCTCAAATCCATTATCTATTGAGGTCAACTGAAAACATTTTTAATTGGCCATAATATAAATATTTGTTGTAGTTAATGAATCCAATATTGTGCCTACTGTTCTTTCATCAAAAAGTGAGTAAATTAAAATATTACATTTCTCTAAAAAACAAAGAATCCCCCAGAATCAGTATCACCCCGTGCCCCTCTCACCCCACGCCCACACGTACCCATTAAGGAAGTCTAGTTTTCAGGGCCCCAGGAAAAACATAAAAAGAAAGAATATCTGTCTCATAAATATGATTAAACAAGCATATGTAGAACACAGTTGTTTCACTTTTAAAAATCAATTATAATTGCTTGTGTAATAAGATGAATTCTATCTTTTACAAAACATGACAGCACAAGCGTTGATTTTGTTGATGTTGCTGTTTCACCTTCTTTTGGAAATATAACCTCAATTTCCTACTGCTTTGGAAATAGTCAGCGAGGCCTCCCTCTGAATCAAGGTGCCAGGCCCTACCCTCACCTTACCAGGGGCAGATGCATGACACACATTTGGCCAGTCAGAAGTTCCCTTCATGCTACTGCACAGAGGGAGGAAAAGACAAAAACTACCTGGAGTTCATTCATTGCAGCCCCTGGACAAGTCTGAGGCTGCCCTTGGGACCTTCGGGGTCCTCCTGGTTCTTCTGCCCTCCCTCTAGTTCCGTAAACTAGCTTATTTCCTCGAGTAAATTTCCCTTCTGATTAAATCAGCCTGCTTCAATGGCTTAGACCAAAAAATTCCTAATCAACACTTTATGAACTTTTTTTTTATAACTTATTTATTTTTGGCTGCGTTGGGTCTTCGTTGCTGTGCGTGGGCTTTCTCTAGTTGCGGCGAGCGGGGGCTAGTTTTCATTGTGGTGCACGGGCTTCTCATTGCAGTGGCTTCTCCTGTTGCAGAGCACGGGCTCTAGGCACATGGGCTTCAGTAGTTGTGGCATGTGGGCTCAGTATTAGTGGCACGTGGGCTCAGTAGTTGAGGCGCTCAGGCTTAGTTGCTCCGTGGCATGTGGGATCTTCCTGGACTAGGTCTCGAACCCGTGTCCCCTGCATTGGCAGGAGGATTCTCAACCACTGTGCCACCAGGGAAGTCCTAGGTGAACTTCTGAAACTGCACTTTCAGAGAAAAATGTTAACTTTTCTTCTGATTTCCAAAGTAGGATAGCCTTATTATACAATATTTAGAAAATTCAGAAAAAAATTTTAAAGACTCCGACATGACATTTACAAAGAAAACTGTCCATATTTTGATATATTTTCTTCATTAACAAATATTTTTGTATGATTGATCTCATTCGGTAGAGAAAAAAACTTAAACCTACTACATTTTCCATTTGCCAGTGCCCCCAAATAGTGCGGAGAAATCCCCCATCAGAATAGAAACAAGTCCAACTCAT